TGCATTTTTGATAAATTGTCAATCGTTGCAACAAGTTTTCAATGCTGACCCAATACGTCTCCTGGAGGAAGACTGACCTTAACACTACTTGTTAATGTGCCACTGCCAGCAACTATTAAATTCAAAGAACAGATTTATTCACAAGCATAGCCTTGTAACAGCCATGCTGCCCTATGTAGGACTGAAATTCACTTGCACAGCTTTTAAGCTGTGACAACGATAATCGCACAAACTACAATGACAATAACAACAACAGCAGTCCCTCTATGGGAAAAAAATTGTCACTGTCCATTGTAACATATTTTATAACATTATTATATTCATGCAGCTTGATCAGAACCCATTGCAATGAAGGTCTGACGTCTGAGGCTACAACAGGGTCAGAGTTCACTTAATTTCAGCCCTGGGAATGCTCAGCACTGTCCCAAGTTTTCTCCATTTGTAGATAATGGATCACAACTGTAATTTACTGGAATCTCAGACCATTAGAAATCGAACCATTTCCAGACAGTTAGATGTCAATGACTTTGTTTCTAATCTGTCCTTAGATTTCTTTAGATTATGGCATTAAGTGCTGCTGTTTGCCGACTCCTCATTGCTAGACTGGGTGTATTTAAGTGACATTTAGATTCAGTCGTGCTGGAAGTAAACACATCTGGTTGTATCTAGTGAAATTGAACCCAGTTATCCATTCAATTTGTGTAATTGGTTGATTTAGTAATTACGGGGGCAATTGCTTTCTCACAAAGGGCCAGGTGGGTTTGAATAGCTTTTTTTTTACTTCAATAAATGAAATCATCATTTAAAAACTGCATTTTGTGTTTAGTCTGGTTATCTCTTTCTCTGATATTAAAATTAGGTTGATGATTGGAAACAATTAAAGGAGCTGTGTTACAATCACTGCGCATGCTCAGAACTTACATCTCAAAGAAAGTGAATCTGCTTGACTGCAAGTCACAATCTGATTCCATCCTTGCCAATCCGTCTTCGTTTTGCATTGTATTAATCTATTTTATTACTCCAGCATTATGCTTTTTACATTAAGGAGCTTTCTATGGAAATTTGAGTATTCAGTGCGCCATTTCAAGCAGGAGCCAATGGATACGAAGAATGCAAGCTGATTGCCATCACCAGTAATCATAGAAGAAGAAAAATATCTTCTATATTTTGACTTGCTGTTGAATGGATTTACTTTGTTCAAAGTTGCGAGCATGCGCAGTAATCGTGACACAGCTCCCTTAAGTGTGACAAATATGTAAAAAATAGAAGACACCAGATAGGGGGTGCAAATGCTTTTTCACAGCACTGTAGAATACTTTGTCAGATTGTGCAGGTAAAAAGTATTGAGTTCTGACTCAGTACATTGGACATTGCAGAAAATGAGTGCTTTTTTGAGGGCTGATACCAAATTGGTACTGAAGTATTGATTCTTGCGACAACAGTACCCTCAAGTCTGGCAGCTGGACAGACTCATACCTTCGGCTTCTCCATATAAGCACTTTGAGATATAATCGGCCATTAATTCACAGACACAAGGATTCGTGACACGTATTACTCGAAGAAGTGTACTTCACTGGCACAGCCTCAATTCCGGGAGGGTTGGGGCAACGTAAAGAACATAATTAAAGACAGCAAGTATGAATCGCAAATCCTTTTTTACCTGCAGTCAACTGAAAAAGTACAAAGACAATATAAAAATGTTTAAATCATCAGCTTTATTTTTTTTAAATGGCTGTATTGAAATGTGATGTTTGCAAGACATTCAAATGAAGTCGGGAAAGGAGTATTTCCACCTCTGTATAACATCACCCCTGCTTTTAAACATGTATTCATTTTGGAACTGAGGATACTGATTTTTGGTGCATTGACAGCTAAATTTTTTCCCATTCCTGCCCAATATAGGACTTCAATTGGTCAGCAGCACAGGGTTTCCATTGTCATATTTTGCATGTAGTAATTCGCCTCTGTTTTCAATGGGAGACAGGTCTGTGCTACAAACAGGTCAGTGTAGCACTCACACTTTGGCAATGAAGCCACCCTGCCGTACTATGTGCAGCAGTGATTTCTTGACATTCTGCTGAAACAAGCAGGGGTGTCCCTGAAAAAAGAAAGCATCTGGAAAGCAGCATATATTGTTCAAAAAATGTGTGTGTACCCATTTGTGTCAGCTGTACCCTCACAGATGTGCCACTTTCCCATGTTGAGAGCACAATTGGGGCCCCAGACCAAGACAGATGCTGGCTTTTGAACATGTTTCCGATAACATATGGGATGGCTTTTCTCATCGTAAGCCTTAACACAACATACATTATTTCCAGAAACAATTTGAAAGATGGATTTATCAGACCACAGTGCTTCTTCCTGCTTCACATCATTCCATTTCAGATGAGCTCGAGCCCAGAGAAGTCGGTGGTGTGAGGTTTCGTTCTGGAACCAGTTGCGAGAACACAGGATAGCAGTAAAAGTGGCTTTATTGAATGAGGGGGGGTAACCCCCGCAGGGCAGAAGGCAAAGGTACAGAGTCCACAAGCCAAAAAAAAAAAAAAAAAAAAAAAAAAAAAAAATCACAATCCAGGAGGGCAAAAACAGAATCAAAAACCAGGGCAGCAAATACAGTACTCGTGGTCAGGCAGAAATAGGTTCGGTACACAGGCACAGGTTTGTCAGAGAAGCAAAGCCAAAATCCAGAGGGCAAAATCCAAACCGTTACCAGGGCAGCAAACACAAAACTCGTAGTCGGGCAAAAAAGGGTTCGAAAACAGATGCAGACAAAAGTACAAAAGAGCAGAGCCAAAAATCGTAAGTCGGGCGGTCCAGTCAGAAGATTAACACTATGAATACAAGGCGAAAGATAACAGCACAGGTAAGCAAGAGGAAACGTTCTGACAGGAACTGCAGGAGAAGACAGCTTAAATACACTCAAGGGAAGTCACATGCTATGATTAGGATCAGGTGATGAGGATCAGACTAATTACAAAGGAGGGAACATGAGGGAGAACCTAATCACATGAAATTGGCAAAAGCCAAAACGCGGACAGGGAACACGAGACAACCTATGACAAAACATACAGCTCCGGTTAGGGAGTTCTAATGTGCACAGATAATGAGAGGCAGGACAGAGTGGAGCAGGTGCGGAGGATCCGCTGAATTGCAGCAAAGACTAAGTGCAGGCAAGAGGCGGAGACTAGAACAGGGCGAGTGCTGAGAGCTTGTTAATCAATTAGTAAGTGCAGCTATACAATCCCTAGTGCTCGTTAGTAAGTTAGTATTAGTTAGTAAAACAGAAAAGAGAGGCGAAGGAAGCAAACGAGATTGGAAGGAATGTTTGAAACCCAGAAACCATGAAATCACCTAAGCATGTGACACGCAGGACTGGGGAGAAGCTGTAGCTTAACAAAAGACCAGACAGGGGAGACAAAGTGCAATGAAGGGCATGAACAAAGACATGGACCGGAATCTAACAGAATAGTGGATTGGGAATGGCAAAAACGAAAACATGGCAAAGTACAAAAACTAAACAGAACATGGCAAAACCTAACAGAACTGATCATAAACATAACAGGGAATGGCAGAAACATAATAAACATGGCAGAATCAGAACAGACAGAGCAGAATCATAACAGGTGGTGCTTCTGGATCGTGTTGATACATAGTATCCTCTTTGGCTAGCAGAGTCCTAACATGCATTTGATGACACAAACTGTGTTCGCTGACGCAGGCATTCTGAAGTATTTTAAAGCTCATTTCCATCACAGGAGCATGTTGGTTCTTAATGGCCCACAGTCTAAGGGCTTGTAGTTCATATACATCCAGTTTTGGTGTTAGGGCTGAATGATTTCACAAAGTAATTGAATTGCAATGTCAGACCAATGCCATTGTGATGAAACTCATGATCCCTTCCCTTCTATACTCACTATGTGAAAGCTAATGTAAATCATTCAATTTATACCCACCACAGCACTAAGTGCTACTAACATATTAACTAGACTTCAGGCTAAGATGTTCAGTTGAAATTATTGAAACTGATGTCAACAACATATTAAATGGTATGAAAACACCTCTTTATTCAACTTTTGAACGCGAAAAAGCAAACTTCACAGTAGAATTCTGACAACTTCAAGCTTTGCGAACATGTGACATATAAATATGTTGTCTTCACAAGTCAAAAAAACAGACATTGTTACTGCTTACTGCTCAATGCAATACTCTAATTCTCACCAGGAACAAGCCAGAGGCTTGCTGCAAACATGTTGCCCAAATAAATAGGCCCTTCAGTCTATGTTTCAGCACATTTTTTTCTGTGCTCACGGAGCAAATCTGAAGAGTGCCAGTGACAGTGTATTTTGGCTCATCTATTACTTGAGGAAGAATCCCATGTCAAAAAAAAAAATCTACTTTTTATCCCCAAATAGATCCGTACATTTCTGAGCTGCAGCAAAAATGTAATTTCTTGAATAAATTCCAAATGATCTAGCTAATGCAGTTGAAGCGTGTGTAACATTTGTTATCAAGCTGGCTAGATCTGTATAGTCTTGAAAACAAACATTTAATGTTTGCTGACTAAAGATCCCTGCCAAATACTTTACCTTATAGCTAGCCTAGATGACAACCCAGCCACTATACATTATCTAACTAAGCTAGCTAGCTTGTTAGAGATGGATAGAAATTAGTCTGCCAACTAACTACCATAACAAGCTAACTGTTGTCGACTGGCTTACATAGCTATCTTTAAATTTTAAAATAATTTTACGCTGTTCTTAAAATTCAATGCAACTGCTGAATGTTCCCAAATTTGATTTGCTGTCGGCAACACCATTTGATGGCAAATAAGTATTCGCAAAAGCAGAAATACAAATCCCATTGCCCCTGAACAGGAAGAGAGAAAATGGACTGGGCAGCATTAGGTGATTATAATAGGTGTGTCATGATGCTGTTTTTTTTAACGGCTTAATCCGCCAGTTTGCTCTGTGCCAATTTTTCCTCAGCAAATTGAGCCAAATGACACAGTGGCGCAGTGGTTAGCATTGCTGCCTCTCAGCAGAAGGGTCATGGGTTTGACTCCGGCCTGGGGCCTTTCTATGTGAAGTTTGCGTGGGACTACGCCGGTATCCTCTCAGTCTAATGACATGCATGCCAGACTAATTGGAGACTCTAAATTGCTCATAGGTATGAGTGTGTATGTGGATGGAGTGTGTGCTCAGTGATGGACTTGCGAGCTGTCAAGGGTGGGTCTCTGCCTTTCGCCCATAGTCAGCTGGGAGAGGCTCCAGCTCCTTGCAACCCTTATGAAGAAAAAGTGGTATGGATGGATGTTCATGAGGGGTTACCAGCTAGTATTTTTTACTTGTGAAAACTATTGCATTGATATCTGTGATCTGTTTTTGTTTCATCTGTCTCCAGCTCTGTGGCGGCTGGTGAACTGGCGATAGGGGAAGCTCAAACCACAGTTTAAATTGTTTAAATGAAATAAGATCATTGGAAGCAATGGAATTGCATAAAGACATTCCAAATCATCTTATTTCATTTATTCAATTTAAAAGATAATGAAACACATGCATTGCTTCCAACCCTGAATAAAGAGAAGCGTGAGAAGTCCAGAGTCATAATTGGTTTCCAGTTACTAGTGGTGAAATCCACCGTAACGCATGTGAAACTGATAAACCTCCATGCACAAGGACTTCAATTCTGCTCGAGAATCTCTTACAAATGCGTTGATTGAATAATTGCTGACTACAGCAGTGGAAATTAAATATGCCACTTAAACTCACACCGAATGCATGAGAGTTGACAGGTATGTGTTATTAATGAAAACTGACCACACCTGATAATGTTGAGAGTTTTCGGAGTTTCTGTAATGGTAATTTAAATGATTGGTTGAAAACAGGTCTGGACTAATCATTAATTTTAAGGGATGGTTTGAGCTTCCCCTATCGCCAGTTCACCAGCTGCCACTGCTCCAGCTCATGCATGGAAGCTGATAAAGATGATAATTTTCAACATTTGGTGTTTGCAAATCACAGTTGATCACATTGTGATGTCTGTGTCGTTTCAATCAGTTGTTGAGCCCTAGATTATTTTTACCCTCATTTTTCTTGCCAGGAAATTGTTCCTGTTTCTCCAGATTCTTAGAATCCTTAATGGTATATTATGGTCTGTTGATAGAATCCCCTCATTTCTTGCAATCGCACACTGAGAAACATGGTTCTTAAACCGTTCGATTATTTGTTTATGCAGCTTTTGGCAAAGTGGCAAACCTTGAATCATCATCCTGGTGAACAATTATGCCTTTTGTAACTGCTCATTTTATACCCAATCACAGCTAAATCACCTGTTACCTATTCACCTGTTTAACTGTGGAATGTTCCAGATGGGTGTTTTTCTGGAGTGTCACCAATTTTCCAGGCTTTCCATTCCCCTGTGCTAATTGTTTTGGAACCTGACACTGGCATTAAATTCAGAATTTTCTAAATTTTGGCCTCTCTTTTTTTAATTGTATTTTTCATATTTTCATAACAATATCTTGTCATCTCTGAAGAGTCATCAATTGTATCCATCAAGGGAAAGACTGAAATTGACTGTGTCTTCATAGCAATTACCACCCTCCAGGTGTTGGTGACATCATCTATACTTACGTCCCAACTGAAGGTGTGGAATGAATCTCTGAGACAGAAACAATAAACAAGAAACAGCTTTTGTGTCTAGTGAGCTCATCAAACATTTTCCCATTTTAATTATACATGCTGATGATCAAAATCATGCAATACAGATGCAAGTATGATTTATTTCCGCTGTCATCTTAACACAGAACACTCTGGCTTGTACTGGATACTTGGCTTGTAACTCAAAATGGTGTGGGTTTGGTTTCTGCTTGGGGTGCTGTCATTTTACCCTTCAGCAGTGTTTTACCTGTGTTACCTCTCTAAAATATTCAGCGATTTGAATGCATTGTAGGCATAAATGTAATCCGACTGAGTCATGAGGCTATGTGTGTTATACAGAAATGTACACTGAACAAAATAATGCACAATGTAACATTTTGACAAAAATTAACCCCAAAAAAACCTAAGGACCCCTATATGGAGCTGCAGCTACTGTATTCAAACCTTTGGAATGTCTGGCCTGATCGGAAGGTTTCTTGTGATCCCAAATATGTGCTTCTGAATTATAAGGAAATGCATGTAACATCATGTTTTAGATCTAGATAATTTCCATTTAATATTAATCTGTGGTAAATAAAAACATGGCGCCCCTGGTTTGAATATTTCTCTCAATATAAATGTCATGTAGCTTCAGTGAAGCGCTACAACCAAGCGCATACAGAATATGTATGTGACTTTGTCCTACAGTATGAAAAGAAAGCTTTTTCTGGCTTTGAGCCTACATGGGAAAACTTAAGTGAAAAATCAGAATTCAAGGGGTCAACTGCCTTTTGGTTCAAATATGAAGAACCAGGTAACACACGGTTTAGCTACACCATGATCTGGCTGAAATTGTGCATCATGCTTGCGGGTGCGAGCTCAGGAATAACCAGAGGTGGACAGTCCAGGTTCAGGAAGTTAATGTGTGTTTTTTTTTTTTTTTACTTGGATTTGCTAAATAATGCAACATTTCAGCCCGGAGGTTGAACTAATTACTGAAGTCAGCAGTTTGAGTTTGTGGGTGGAAGTAAAACCTGAGAGGTAGGGCTTGTGCACCTCAGGGAACAACCAATAGCTTATATATATATATATATATATATATATATATGGCATTCTGTAGTACATATGTTTCATTCAGTGATTGAGTTAGACAAGTGAGGCCTCGTATCTAGCAGGACTGTAGACAATCATGTTGGTGGCATTATTATCGCCCACATATTGAATAGTGTTCTATTGTCAACAAAATTTAACGGGTGCAGTTAAAACATGCATTGCCACCAATAATTTCTGTGGTACCGGTATTGAACAGTATTTGTATTTTTCATCTCATGGGCGTTTACAGATGTATCATTGCAGGTAATGTAAAAATCACTGAACTGTATTTGGATGGATTAGTTCAGTGCGCACTTATTTCAGATAATTCGGTAAGGGAATGTTTAAATGGGTGAACTTTAATGGAATGGTAATTTTTCAAATCAATGAAGCATGGACTGCTTGTTTATACATGTAAATGCGACTTTAAATTGTTTGTCTGTTTCTCTATGGTAATGTGGAAGTCTCTATATTTCTGGCCAGGGGTTGCTAGTCTTGTTTAGGTGCGATATCAACTATACGAGAGCCGGGAATGGTAGCGAGCCAGTGTGTCATGCAAGGTACCCTGAGGTATGAACTGGGATGCTCTGCAATGTCAAGGTCAGCCTATTCATTGGACATGTTCTGAATTATACAGTGCTGTGAAAAAGTATTTGCCCCCTTCCTGATTTCTTATTTTTGCATATTTGTCACACTTACATGTTTCAGATCATCAAACAAATTTTAATATTAGACAAAGATAACCTGAGTAAATACAAAAAAATGCAAATATGCAAAAAAAAAAAAAAAATCAGGAAGGGGGCAAATACTTTTTCACAACACTGTACGTTTATTACGTATTTCCTACTGCACCAATATATACTGGATAATAAGTGCTCGTTTGCACAGTATTATACTGTGCACAGGCCAGTATGTGATTGTGTTATATGTTAGGCAGTCACTTGACCACCAAGATACTATGCTCATCTTGGTCACGGTGGGGTGTTATTCTTCAGTATTTCATTGTAAGTTACTCAATACTTTGAAAATATGTCAGGCTGAATCAGTAGCAGTCCGTCGACAATAACAAAGGCCTTCAGTAACCTCACCTTTCAGTGTTTAATTACCCAGTCCTTCCCCAATTTACTTTGCCTGATTGGCAACAGTTGCCTAGGCTTATTGGCACATGATTGTCAAATTTATTTTGGAATAGCATTGTTGTACGGGGCATCACAAAGTTATGTGGCATTTTCTTCTGGATGTAAATAATGACGCAATATCTCAATATGTCTTCATAAATTTTGAATTCATGTAGCTCATGAAATGGCACAGATTTGTGTAAATTACTTTTTGAGGCCCATTAAACAATAAGGTACGAGAATCCATTCTATATTTTGCTTTAAGTTACGGCTAAAGGGTGTTGTTAGGCATGACGCACAGCGGAATGACAATGCAAAAATGAAGATAATCCAAATAAATGTAAAAAATCCAAGAGAGATAGACGTCCGCAAATGTTTTGGATTTTTTGCATCCTTACAATATCACATCAATTACATTCAGTAAACGTAGCCTAAAGTTAATCACCTTGTCATTGTAATTTTTGAATCATTACAGGTAATATACTGGTCTTGGATGTTCAATCAATGAACTGTTTGATTATTAAACAGGTGAATTTAAAGGGGAACTCAAGGATAATGCATAATGCTGTTTTATACAAACATAATTAGTAAATAAATGTTGTAAAATGCAAAAATGTGGAATTTTTGTTTTCAAAGACTAGATAAATGAGGTTTTATTCCCCCTAATTAGCTGTCGTCTGCTACAACGGTCGCGTGATAATGACAAAACGTCGCCCTTCGCCCAGAGGTATGTGCGGTTATTGTGTTGGATAGTGTGATTATCCAATTATCCTTAATTTTAGCTATTGCCGATATTCCCAGGATTTGGCTTAATTAACCGCGAATGATGTTCGCAAGATTTGTCTCGATTACCCGTGACTGATTTTAATTCGTTGGCACTCTTAATGAGACATCAGCTGCTCCACCGAGAAACGAGAGGGTTTTTAAGTAGCATCACATTTCCAGCTGTTCTCACTGATGAGTGATGAACTGGCTTTAAGCGACAGACAACAAATGTGAAAATATCTGGTTATTAATATGTAAATATTCAGTAACGTCGAAATGCCGTTTCATAAATCTAACATGCGATCGACGCATATTTTAATATTGACGATACTTCGTTTACCTTCCCACTCGGCGTCAGTTTCACTCTCACGACCATCACTTCATTAGCTATGGTTAGTTGAGCACATCTAAGAAAACCATAACGATGTAGCAGTACTAGGTAGGTAGTTGCATCAGAAAA